GGGACCTTAAACTATCAAGTATCACCTATATGAAATACAATAGCATTCTCTCCCAATTGAATCCCATCACCAAAGCTGGTAGGTGGACACACCATATTTTGGCACTGTGATCACATTGTTTCTATCCACTTAGTGGCCCTACAGACACACATAAGACATTTATTTACTCAGAACTAAGTGGAATTGTATAGATTTCAGCAGCCTGTCCTTCGAAGAATTCAAGTTCAAAATGGAATTCTCTCACTCTGCCTTAATAGGATACTGAGAGAGTTTCTTCTTTCTTTCTCTCTTTCTTTCTTCCTTTCTTTTGTTTTGTTTTTGTTGTTGTTGTTTGCTTTTTGGAGACAGGGTTTCTGTGTGTAGCCCCTACTGTCCTAGAACTCACTCTGTAGACCAGGTTGGCCTCAAAATTACAGAGATCCACTTGCCTCTGCCTCCCAAGTGCTGGGATTGAAGGTGTGTGCCACCACTGGCCAATGACTGAGTTTCTTATACCCGATAATTGAACTGGCTAATCATTGTTTCCTGTAGAGGGCCTTCTTGCTGGGACATCATATGACAAAAGGTATCACACAGCAGAAGGGCACAATGGGAAAGCAGGGGAGCAAGGCAAACTCAGTGATAATGATATTCCACTCCTGAAGGCAGAGCCTTGATGTCTAATTCTGTCATAAGGAAAGTAATACTGAGTTTTGGAGGGAGCAGATATCCAAACCAGGTCAAACATGACAGTGCCTTTCTGGATTATGGATCTCAGCCAAGAGTCCCAAGTGCTTTGATTTAGTCAGCTAAAAAGATGAAAACTTGTTTATAGGAGACATCCACCTGCTGGTAGGCAGATTTGGGTTTCCCAGCTGCTTCTTGGATTGTTAATGTAAATGGTGTTGGCAATAGCAGACACCACTCTTTTCTGCGACTAGACAGATTGTCCATGATTTCTTGGTGAGTTCAATATGTCCTATTGGTTCTAAGTAGTATTACCTATTTTGTGAATAGTATGAGAAGGTTTTTAAGGTCTGTCTATGCTTGGTAGTAAAATGTAGGCAGTTGAGCAAGGATGGGTGTTCCTTACTCTGATCAGGCCAGCAGAGTCTAATCCCTCCAGAGGCATCCATGCGGTGATCCATATAGACAGTGGGGTCTTCAGATTCTGAGGCAGAAGGACCCCTCCTCCAGAAGAAAAGCACTGCTACTCAGTCAGGTCCACATAGAAGCCAGTGTGCCAAGAAAGCACTAGTGTCCCCTCCAGGGGGACTGTTGTGCTATCATCTGCCACAGCCTTGTTGCAGGGTCTCACATATCACATACTTGTTGTATGATACTTTATCACACTGTGAACCCCAAGTTTGTATTTGCATTGATTAAATAAAGCCAACCTTGGGTCAAGAGGCCAAATTACTAACTAGTTGACAGAAAGGGATCATAGAGAGTCAGAGGGTATTTGGAAGACATTAGAGAAACACACAGGAAGTTGTAGGGAAGGGCTTTGAGCGTTGTGGTTTGTTTTGGTTCGGAAGAGGGAAGGACACTCTCAGAGATGTGGGCAAAGAGAGATCAGCTAGTTGCTACTCAACCTCTCTGAGCAAGCAATTTTCCACCCCAGCCTGACTCCTGAGTCTTATTGGTAGAATGATAGAGATTTAGTAAGAAGTTGTATTTGGTGACAGCAACAGAGCCAGTGTCTGTGGGAACAGATTTCCTACTGGCATAGTCTGAGCGGCTGGACTGCTTGCTATGAGAGAAACAGGCCTGTAACTGTAGAGACTCAATTACTGACTGAAGCAGCAGATTAAAACACAGCCTCTGATGGAAAAACAACTGGCAGCCCGCACAGAGGGTGCCAAATGTAGACAGTCTTTCTTGGGGACCGCCAGTCTGCAAATAATGACACAGAGACATCAATTAGGAAAGCCTTTAGCTTATTCTTGTTCCCAGCTAGCTCTTGTAACTAAATCTGCTTTTGTTAATCTAGGTTGTCATGTGGCTTCTTACCTCTTTCATTCTGTATGTCCAACTTTCTCCTTGGTTTACTGGCATCTCCCCACCTCTCCTCTTCCTAGAGGGTCTCCCTCTTCCCAGAAGTTCCACCGATTCTCTCCTGCCTAGCTATTGGTCATTTAATAAATCAATCATGGTACATCTTCACACAGTGTAACCAAATATACATATACCTTTACAGAGATAGCCTATATAAAATACATATATATATATATATCTTTTTTTTGTTTTTTCAAGACAGGGTTTCTCTGTGTAACAGCCCTGGCTGTCCCAGAACTCACTTTGTAGACTATATTTACTTTGGCAGTCACATTTTCCTTTTTAACCTCTTCCTCATATCAATTCTCATTATATCCTTTCTTCCTCTAGTAATAACTACTATAATGGATTTGAGAAGTATCATTTCCATAAAATGTACTAGATTTCATCTATGCCAATGCATGCGTGTTTAAATTTTGACATCAGGGTTGGAGAGATGGCTTATCATTTACAAGCACTGATTGCTCTTCTAGAGGACACAGGTTCAATTCCCAGCACCCACATGGAGGCTAACTGTCTATGGCTACAGTTCCAGAGTATCCAACACCCATTTCTTGCCTCCTCAGGAACAAGGCATGTATGTGGTACACATACACACATGCAGGTAAAACCGCTACATATGAAATAATAAAAATATATCTAGAGATCTAGATTCATGATAGAATTGATCATAAAATGTTTTTTTTTCCTTTAACTTCTCCCCCACACATGCATAACTTCTGTCATTTATATACGCACCTTTTTCGAGTGATACATCTGTTGTGGTCATTTCTCAAATTTCAGATAGTTAGTCATGATGCTTAATTTCATTCTGGGATGATTCAGCACAGCCAACCTTTCTGTACAATGTCCCTAATTAATATTCAGTCAGTAAAGAAAATAATAGATACTTATTTTTGTTTTTCTTATAATAGAAAATGTGACCACTTTATCCTAATATATTTTAGGTCAATTTTGTGTGTATGTGCAGGTGTGCATGCCACAACACACATGTGTTCAGGTAATAGTTTGTAGTAATTGGTTTTGTTTCCACCACATGAGTTCTAGGGATGAGCTCAGGCCAACCTTTACCCACTGCCCCTTCCTGCCAGTCCCTAAACATTAGCCTCTGACTGTTTTTTCCAGCATTGCCTTGATTTCAGACATGCAAGCCTTATGACTCCATGAGCCAGCTCCTTGAAATGCTTAAAATTATACGCTTAACTCATACAAAAATAAAATGCTATCTTGGGTACTTGCTTAACAATGATATATTACACATAATTTGAATATATAACATGTATCATATAACTTATATGTAATATACATATATGGGCAATCTCCTATTGGAGAATTCTGATATTCTAGAAACAAGATTGCTCTAGGAGAACATCTGAAAAGTTTTCTTAATTAGTTCTTTGGTCTGGTATGATATAAAGGTACTGGTGACAAACAGGGGACACTGGTAGTCCATGGAATGCTGTGGCAAAAAGAAATAAACAAACATTACCATTGATTTTCCTAATTGAGTATTTTTAAAGGCAAGCTTCTGGATGACCATGTATTTGACATCTTAGCACATTTTGGTCAAACTTGTGAGTAACCTATCGTGAGAATGACTGCTAGTTCCAAACTGTGTTGGACAAGTGGGATTAGATTCCTAGCTAATCACAGCACTAATGGCATGGGCATTTCTGTGTCTGCCCTAAAAAACTTACAGAGCCGGAATATGAGAACCAAAGCCAAAGTCTTAACCCTGCAATGTCTGAATTACAAAGCAAGTTGGAGTATCCAACCTTCTTCCTGTAGATCCAGTACAAAACTTACCACAACAGCAAGAAGTGAGCTTTTTACACCCTATAGGCCTTTGCCTGGCATGTGTAAATCTCCAACATATGTCTTTCTATTTAAGAATCCGGAAACCACATGGCATAATGGTGCAGGCCTATAAACCCAGCACTCAGAGAGTAGAGGCAGCAGAATTGCTGAAAGTTTGAGGCCAGCCTGGGCTACAAAAAGAATAATGAAAACAAACACAAAGAATACAGATACTCAAGAAAGCCTTGTTGAGATACACTGAACTTTGCTCCTGCTCTGATACTGACACTGGTCCTCTGCTCCAGAGGCCACTAGCCCCATCGAGCATTGTACATAGTACCTCTCCTTCTCTTCAAAACCAACCCAAATGCAACTGGACCTTTCTTTTTTTTTTTTTTTTTTTTTTGGTTTTTACGAGACAGGGTTTCTCTGTATTGTTTCGGAGGCTGTCGGTCCAGCCTAGCCTCGAACTCACAGAGATCCGCCTGCCTCTGCCTCCCGAGTGCTGGGATTAAAGGCGTGCGCCACCACCGCCCGGCTGGACCTTTCTTTTTAAAATCAAGAGTCAATTATTCCAACAAATAATGTCTTTTGTTTTTCAACTGCTTTCAACTAGGAAGGAAAACTATGTAAAAGATAATGTGCTTTATAATTTTAAAACTGGTCTCAAATGTTGTATACTGTTGATTCTCATTATTCCAATTAATGTTCTGAAGAATATGAACTAGCTTTCTGTCTAGGAGAATCCACTGACACAAGGAGGAAAGTATTACCCCTTTGGAAGGTATGCCTCAGGTGACCTATTTCCTCTCACTAGGTATCACCGCTGACAGTTTCCACATTCCAGTATCAACTAGGAATCCATCAGTGGGTTAAACATTTCAAGAGGTTAGAACATCATGATGAAATCACCCATGAACACTTGTTTTGGGGTTCAAGCTCTCAACACATGAGTCTTTGGGGAAAACCCTAACCATATCAGTAAACAAAGGCATCTTCAATCAGGCTTGTTTGTGTAGAGGATTAAATATAAAGTAATAACATAAATGCTATTTTAAAGTCGATTCTATAGGGCCTGCACCTACTGGCTTATTTTAGAAAAAGCAGGCAACTAAATTAAAAAAATGTCAGAACTAATTTTGACGAGACTTGTTAGCACTGTAATATTTGCTTTCACCTTTTATTAAAGAAGAATTACAGATCAATGTAACAACTCCCATAAAACCCTTCTACATCCTCAAAGGCAACTAATATTATAAATGGAACCATGAGTAATATCAAATACTGTTCTTTGAACTGGTTTGTTACAATTATACCATGTTTCATCGTGTATTTTGCTTTCCCCCTCAAAATATTGTGATCTATTCATGTGACTACATGTGAATTTTGTGTATTTTATAGTATAGTATCCTACCATAGAAATAAACATACCGATCTATCTCTGTTGATGGATATGTTACATACAATTTAGAGCAAAACAAACCATGACTCTGGGAACGTATTGTAGATATTTCTTTGCATACATACTTGGTTCCTTTGAGTCCAATACACTAAAAGAGAATCGACTGTTCCATGTTGTGGGTATTTTAACACTCTTACTCTAGAGAAACATAGTCTACTTTATTTCCATAGTTTTATAATCTTACCTTTTCTATCTGGATTATTTTTATGTGAGTGTGTGGACATGCATTCCATGGTGTACCATTAGAGGTCAGAGGATAACTGTGGGAGTCAGGGCTTTCCTTCCACCATGTGGATTCTGGGGCTCAAAGTCAGGTCTGAGGTTTGCCAGCCAGCACCCTATCAGCTGGACCATCTCACCAGCCTGATGGATTGTACATATGTATGGTTGAGAAGTAACATGTTTGGGTCATATGGATTTTACACATATTGAACAGGATAGACTTACTCCAATGACTTCAGTAGCACTACACATACACAAAATGGCCAGGTCTTGAATTTCTATATTAATCCTCAATTTGCTTCCAATACTTTGTTTATTCGCTCAGAAGAATTTAGACAAGAAAATCTTTAAATAATGTAATGATATCTAGTAGTGAGCACCTTCCCTAGTTGTTTTGTCAAAACCAAACTGTTGCTATTTGTGGTCCTTTGCCTTGCTGTGTTCCTCTGAAATCAGACCATGAATTTCTTTACAACGGATGTGTGCATTTTGAGTGGAAGTATACCAAAGGCAGAAAATTGAAAGAGTACTTGAATTTTTATAATTTTCTGACTTGATTTTTTTCAGGTGTTCTTTTGTAACCATCAGCACGTTTTGTAACTTTGTAGACATGTCACCTAATTATCTTAGATTGTTCTTACTGACACATCACACAAAACCTCCTTTTTCATAGTCTCATATTGCTGACGAAAGGTTACTCTTCCTGCTTTGTCCATTCATAACTTGCTTCATACATCCACAAGGAGCTCCAGTTTGTTGATACTTGGCAGATATTTCTTTCAGATTTGAATGAGAATACGGATTAGACATCAATTGGTTTGTTCAGTTTCTCCGTTTTATCACACAATTGGTCATCTCGCTGAGAATTCTCTAATAAATGTGTGGGTTCTTCACAAGGCTTGCCTATGTTCATAGTTTTCTGCTATAGAACTGATGGTGTAGAGTGCAATGAGGTGTTCATTTCATGGGAAGGCAGTCCCCACATCCAGTGTTCACGGAGTTTCTAGTGAGTGTGGATTCTCTGGTGTCTAACAAGATGTGACTTTTGGCTGAAAGCTTTTCCGCACTCGATACAGTTGTAGGGCTTTTCTCCTGTGTGTTTCCTCATATGAAGAGTAAGCGATGAGATCTGAGAGAAGGCTTTCCCACATTTGCTGCAGTCGAAGGGCTTCTCGCCTGTGTGACCTCGTATGTGTATAGTAAGGGATGAGCTCTGGGAGAAGGCTTTCCCGCATTTATTACATTCATAGGGTTTCTCACCAGTGTGGCCTCTCATATGCACGATAAGGGAAGTTCTTTGCGAGAAGGCTTTCCCACATTCATTACAGACATACGGCTTCTCACCAGTGTGACTTCTCATATGCAAATTAAGTAAGGAGCACTGAGAGAAGGCTTTCCCACACTTATCGCATTCATAGGGCTTTTCTCCAGTGTGACTTCTCAAGTGAAGAGTCAGGGATGCAATCTGAGAAAAGGCTTTACCACATTTATTACAATCATAAGGTTTCTCTCCAGTATGGACTTTCTGATGTGTAATAAAGTTTTGTTTCTGGCTGAAGGCTTTCCCGCACTCATTACATTCATAGGGTTTCTCCCCAGAATGAATTTTCTCATGAGCAATGAGATTTGATTTCTGGCTAAAAGCTTTACCACATTCCTTACATATGTAAGGCTTTTCTCCAGTATGAATTCTCTGGTGCCTAACAAGATTTGACATCTGAATAAAAGCTTTCCCACATTCATTACACCCATAAGGTTTCTCTCTGGTGTGGATTTTCTGATGTGTAATGAAGTTTTTCTTGTGGCTGAAGGATTTTCTGCATTCCTTACATTCATAGGGTTTTTCACCTGTGTGACTTCTAATATGGACAGTTAGTGCTGAGCTCTGAGAGAAGGCTTTTCCACACTCATTGCATTCGTAGGGTTTTTCACCGGTATGGACTCTCACGTGTATAATAAGCATGGAAAACTGAGAAAAGGATTTCCCACATTTATCACATTTGTAAGGTTTTTCTCCTGTATGACTTCGCATATGAAGAGCAAGGGAAGCAATTCGAGGGAAGGCTTTACCGCATTCGTTGCAAGCGTAAGGTTTCTCCCCAGTGTGAACTTTCTGATGTGCAATGAGGCTTTGCTTCTGGCTGAAGGACTTTCCACATTCATCGCACTCATAAGGTTTCTCACCACTATGGATTTTTTCATGATCAATGAGATTAGATTTCTGGCTGAAGGCTTTCCCACACTCCCTGCACGTATACGGTTTCTCTCCAGTATGAATTCTTTGATGTCTAATGAGATTTGACATTTTAATGAAAGTTTTCCCACATTCATCACACTCATAACACTGTTCCCTACTATGAAGTTTATGATGATTAATAAGTTTTTCCTTGAGGCTAAATCCTTTTCCACATTGGTGGCATTCATAGAGTTTCCCACCAGTATGAATTCTCAGGTGTCTAATAAGGTCCAAGGTTTGACTAAAGCCTTTTCCACAATGATTACACTTAAAGGGGGTCACTACAAAATAGGGAGACCTGTTGTTAAATGATTTCATAGTATCATCATATTCAAAATGTTCCTCTGTCATTGAGCATTTTACATTATTATGGTCATCCAGATTATTTTCTGAACACTTTCCAAACAAGTCATTTTCATAGCTATTGTGTCTGGAAGAAATGGAATCTGCATTTGGATGAAATGTATTTGCAACTTTCTTAGCACATTCATTGGCTTCATCAGCCACTGTTTCCTTTAAAACTTGTTTCAAGAGTTTGTTCTGGGTTTTCTGGTGCTCATCAAGTTCCCAAATTTCACCTAAAATAGATAGCAAATAAATGTCACTGGTGATTTCCTTTACAATACTGAAATACCAAGTATACTTGAAAAACACATTCCCACAATTAAAGAAGTCTCAAATGCGTATCTCCCATTTTAAAATTAATCTTTAAAATATTTTCATTTTATGTATATGGGTGTTTTGCCTGTATGCATTTAAGTGTACCATGTGCATGCTTGGTGCCTGTTGAAGCCTGAAGAGGGCATCAGATCCTGTGAAACTGGAGTTACAGACTGTTGTGAGCTGCCATGTGGGTGCTGGGAATTGAACCTGAGTCCTCCAGAGGAGCAGCCAGTGCACCTGACTGCTGGGCCATCTCTCATGCCCCACATATATCTCTTCTATCCTCAGTTTTTAGAAGGAATTTTCAGGAAAGGAGCTATGAGTAGAAGCAGATATCTAGAATTCAATCACCTATGTTTTATGTGAAAGAATATAATATTAATTTTAATTACTTTCCTATATACATAAATAATTATTTAGGAAATGTAATAAAAAAGAAAACTATACTTTTAAAGAAATTTGAAGACTAAGGAAAAATTAGAAAGAAATATCCAAACAATGAATGACAATTCAAAACGAATACACAATGGCAAAACATTGTAGACTATGCCTATAAATTCAGCCCTTGGGAGATGGGGGTAGAAGGGTCAGTAATTCAAGGCCAGTCTCAGTTACATAGCAAGTTCAATGCTTGCTTGGGCTATATGAGACCCTGTCTTAATATAACAATAACAATAACAGAAAAGAAAGGTGAAAAGATGTTTTGAGTTCAATTGTGTGCTGCCAAAAAGATATAATACAGTCCTAACTCCCAGTACCTCAGAATATGGTTATCCTCTGGCCTTCATTTACTTACACACACGTACACATGTGCACCTTCACACACACACCCACGCACGCACGCACAAATTAAGAGTATTGAAAACAACACCTTGTGCTGATGAAATGGCTCAACAGATAAAGGCATTGCCGCCAAGCTTGATGACCCAAGTTCTATGGTACAAGTTTTCCTCTAACCTTCACATGAGCACCACAGCACGCACACACACACACACACAAGATGTAATTAAACATTTTTAAAGGAAAATGACATCTTTGTTTTAGAAGAGCTCACACTAACAGTTACTACCCAAGTCTACATGCTTTAGGGGAATACCTTGGGAAACATCTCAGATAGATTAACCATTTATGTCCTCTCTCCTCACTTGTCTGGTTCCCTCCCACTAACCTGGACTGTGTCTCTTTAACACTTCTTTCTCCACTATAGATGGCTCTTCCTCTTGTTCCAACTTGAAAATCACATCAGGTTTGGCAAGTGGAGAGCCTGTCAGAGGGAAATGACACTGATTTGGGTATATACACCATTAACAAAAACAACCCAGGAACTGAGAGAGGCCTGGGGAAGCCAGGTGTTCTAACTTCTGAAAGGTGTACCCTGAAATATCAACAAAGGTTTTGCTTTGAAGCTGCATCCTGCACAAGACCATAGCAAAGGCATCCCAAGTAAAACCCACCATTATTCCAAAGTTCCATCTATTTTAGAAAAAGGACACTATCTTACCCACTGTGATTAAGTTGTTATAATTTTCTAGCATCACATTCCGATATAGGTTCCTCTGAACAGGATCCAATTGTTTCCATTCGTCAGGGGTGAAATCAATAGCCACATCTTTGAATGTCACTGTTTCCTGTAACAACATACTTACACTCAACCTGAAGTTATCCATTTTAATGCCATAGGGAAAACATAATGAATCTTGTTCAGATAGTATTCAGAAAAGAGGATATATATATATATATATATATATATAAACACTGCCTGTTTTCTAAACAAAGCAAATATCTTATTAGTAATATTCTACCAGTTTATGATTATTTACCAGAAAATAGGGCCACTGGTATGTATACACAATAGAAATTTGTTCAGCCATAAAGAAAAATGTCATCATACCTGATGAACAAAGTGTGCCTGGGAGACTTCAGCTTTGCCTATTACCCCAGTGGACACAGCATGCTAGGAAGGTTCTAGCCTTGTCTGTTGTCCTGGTGAGTCGAGGAAGCCTCAATCCTACCCATCACACTGGCAACCACTGCTCTGAACCTTCCATAAGTGAGGTCAGCACATCTATCCAGATTTTAGCCACCACCACCCCTGGTTCTACCAGGTGATAACAACAACTTGGTATCCTTCACACTGAAGACTGTTAAGAGATATTCATGACACATAAATACCTACTCTGAAACAATGAGGCTAAGTTAGAGAAGAAATAAATTCAACAAACAATCTATCTCCAGATGTACAGGTCCAACACAATACACAAGGAACTCCAAAACCAAGGTAAATTAATTCCTTCAAAAATGATTAATCTATAGTAATGACATTCAAAAATGTGAACTGGATGAAATCACCCCCCAAAAAATAACTTAAAAGAAGGATAAGTATGTTTAAACAACTTAAAGAATAAAAGAAACTCCTGAAAAAAATCCCAAGAGAACACAAACAACTGAATACAATAAAGACAGAGACACGACATGAGAGAGAGTTTCCATAAGACAGAAATACTGAGGAAACCCCAAACTGAAATATTGGAAATGAAGAGCAGAGCAGTCAAATCAAAACCTCTATAAAGTCTCACCAACAGAGGGTGTCCAAAGGGAGCTGTATAACAGATGCAAACGCAATTCCGAAAATCACTAGTACATCCCTTAAAAGCATATCCACTGAATTAGAAAATCTAAAAACAGGGATGGATTTTTATATGCATATTATCCATCAAAATTAACTTAACATGAAATAAATAACTTAAAAAGATCTAGAACAAGCAGCGATATTGATGTGGTAATGAAGTCTCCCCTAGAGTCTCACTGCAGAAACAATTTACTCTTAGGGGTAGCCTGCATGCCCAGAAGTAGATGGCTGACAGAAGAGGAACTCAACAGTACCTTTTGAGATTCCTTGTCTCAGAATGTTTTGTCAGGGATTTTTTTTTGTTTATTGTTTTGGTTTTTTGAGATAGAGTTTCTCTGCATAGCTCTGGCTGTCCTGGAGCTTTCATTGTGGACCAGGCTGGCCTTGAACTCAGAGATTCATCTGCCTCTGCCTCCTGAGTACTGGGATTACAGACGTGTACCACCATGCCCAGCTTAATTTAACTTTTTATTTTTATCTTATTTTTCTAGTTTTACCCTACAGGTCTTTTGGGTATATATTATGGTCTCCTGTTTAATGTTTTTATGAGATTCATGAGTGTGCAAATGAATGGATCTCTGTATCTGTATCTATTTCTTTTGCCATTTCTTAGGCTCTTTTCCTTCTCTTTGTTTTGTCCTATTCCAATGTGTTAGTTTTTGTTATATCATCATATTATAATCCCTTAGAAGCTTGGTTTGTATTCTAATGAGACAGAAAGGGATGGATCAGGATGGGAGGGGAGGTGGAGGGAAGCTGGGAGGAGAAGAGGGAAACTATAATTAGGATATATTGTGTGAGAAAAAATCTATTTTCAATAAAAGGGGAAAAACTTCCTTTAGGGTTGGTGAGATCGCCCAGCAGTTATGAGTGTTTACTACTCAATCATGAGGATCTGCATTCAGGGCACATATAATAAGTCAGATATCTCAAACATGCCTGTAGACCCAGCTCTGAGGATGGCAGAGACAGGAGGTTCCAGCCTGGCTGAGAGAATACCAGTTTCAGGTAGAGACCCTGCCTCAAAAGAACAAACAGCAAGACACCGAGGATCACATCTGACACCTTCTTCCTGCATCTGTGCACCTGCATACACATGTATACAGACATACACACGTATACAGACACATATAAACAAGTTTTTTAAAGAATTTTAAATTTGCTGTAGCAAAATGGCTTTGGCAACTATTGTGATAGATGTAACATGTAACTAGAGTTTCTTTCTAGTCTGATACCACAGCCTATTAGGCCCAAATAAATACACAAATGCTATATTAATTGTAAATCTATTGGCCGGTGACTAGGGCTTCTTACTGGTTAGCACTCTCTTAATTGTTAACCCATGACTACTGCACTATGTATTTCTACATGGTCTTATCTTACCAGAGAACACCTGGCACATCCTATCTTCCCAGTCTCTACATGGTGTCTCTTCTCAGCCTCTCTCTGCCTCCTCCTTCCTTTCACTGCCCGGCCTATACTTCCTGCCTGTTCTCTCTCCCCAGCCAGAGCTCACTGCCATGTTTTATTAACTAATTTTGATGACTATATAAAAAGAATGTGATTTTGTTTTCTGTATTTTTGTTGTTTTGTTTTGTTGGCGACAGGATCTGAAACTCACTATGTAGACAAGGTAGCCTTTCTCTTATAGACCTTCCTGCCTCTGTTTCCTGAGTGCTGTAAAAGGTGTAAGTGAGCCACCATGCCTAACAAGAATATGATTTTTGTGTATTCAAATTTTGAATTTCTCCTTTACCACAAATGCATCCCTATTATGTTGAGAAGGCAAGCTTGTAAATACAGGAAGTGCATCAGTGGGGTTGGAGAGATGGCTCAGTTAACGGGACAGGACCCAGCTTCAGTTCCAGCACCCATGCCAAGCAACTCACAACTGGCTGCAATTACAGCTCAGATCGGACCCCCTCTTTTAGACTCCAAGGGCACCTTAACCTGTACATGCACCACAAGCCTTCTTTTTAAATTTTAAAAGGGGGGAGGCTCCTAGCTCAGTGGTAGAGTATTCATGCATGGTGCCCTGGGTGCAAACCCCAGTACCACAGACAAGCCAATAACAACACTCAAGAATGTTACTTGGGGCCGGGCGTTGGTGGCTCACACCTTTAATCCCAGTACTCAGGAGGCAGAGGCAGGAGGATCTCTATGAGTTAGAGGCCAGCCTAGTCTACAGAGTGAGTTCTAGGACAGACTCCAAAACAATAAAGAGAAACCCTGTCTCAGAAAACCAATATATAATACATATATTACTTGGGATAACAGTGCTCTCTGACACAAAGTCATTTTGAATAATCACTTTAGAAAACTGTTTTCCATAACAATGGACTTTATGTACAACCTGGCATTTATAAGAAATTTCACATTTTTCATATTTATAATTCCTAAAAATAAAGCCAATTAAATGACTATCATCAATATGCATAAATACAAGCCAATTAGGCATAAATACAAGCTAATTTGCTAGTTGAATGAGAGAACTAATGAGAGAACTGATGGGAAACGTTCTTCTGTTTACTGGTTTGTGAATAAAACACTTTGGCTGATTGGCCAGATAGGAAGTGACACAGCTCGGCAGAAACTTGCCACTAGCTAACCATAGAAGTCTGGAGATCTGTGCAGATAGACAGGAAGTGATATAGCTGGGCAGAATCAGGATGTAAGCATGGACAAACAGGAAATCGCTCTCCTCTGCAGAGATTCTAAGCAGTCTTCATGTAGCAGGCAAAGGCGTTGCAGGTCTGGCATTCCCCAGTAAGCCAAGACCATGTGGAAATACTTAGATTAATAGAAATTGGTTAATAACAGCTAGTCAATAAGAAACCCTAGCCAACGGCCAACAGTTTCCTAATTAATACAGTGACGTGTGCTTCTTTGGGGCAGAAAAGGGCAATGGGACCTAGTAAGGCCAAGAAAGCTCATGCTATCAGAGAATTGAGCTACAAATATATGTAACAATTGAGCATGGGTGAATCTGATAAACATAATATTAAGGAAATAAAGACAGCTATAGACAGATCACATGAATCATATGATCCACTCCTTTCCATCCAGCACATGGGGCCCAGATTGAACTCAGGTCTTCAAACTTGGTGGCAAATACATTTACTTTCTAAGCCATCTTATTGGCCAACAATTCTATTTATAAACTCTGTGCAGGCTACACAGTGTGTTCACTTTAAAAATTACCTCAGTGTGCCTGAGGCAAAAATTAGAGGTATAAAAAGCTAACAGATATGGAAACACATTGAGGAAAATAATTATTCAGTATTTACCTCAATGGAGATAAAGATGCCATGAAGTGAGGGCTATATTCAACAATTCAATTGCTGAAAATCCTATGTGTACAGACTGACATTTTTATAACTTACAATATGTCCACATGGCCTCATAACACAATGGTAGCATGTCTGAGCCCACAATATGTTCACCCACCAAATAAAGTCAAATGAAGTTGTCTTCAATACGCCAAATGATCTTACGCCAGGTAACCCTCTACCCTCTCAGAGGTAACCTATTCTGACATTGTTGATGCTGAGAAGGATCTCATTATCCAGGCTGGCCTTGAACTTGCTAAGTAGCCAAGCTGACATTGAGCTTCTGCCCTTTCCACCTCTCAAGTACTAGGATTATGACCATGATCATCATACCCTGGTCACTATTCTGACTTCTAACACTTTGTGCAGGTCTGAACGGCATCTGAATAGTCAGCTGGTGTTTACTGTTGTCTTTCACTCTCTGGAGGAGTAGCAGGAGTCCACTCCCTCACTGCTGCACAGGCCTGCACACTGTGTTTAGACATTCCTCACTGCTGCATAGTGCCCACCACACAAAGCCCTAGGCTATGTTTACTTTGCTGTTGATGCTCATTTGTGCTCCTTCTGATTCTGGAGTACTTTGATAAACATTGCTTCATCTTTAGTCAAAACAAACAATGCAGGTTTATGAACTGTAAGGAGACACAGCATTGTTCTCATTGACCCATGTGCCAATCAAAGGCTTGTTTCTGTGAGGAAATTATTGTATTTAGTCTTATATACATGAAAGTGATGTAATCAACTTGTGCCCTGTTTTCTTTACCAAAAAGAATGAAAATAATTGCGTGTGGTGGTACACACTTTTAATCTCAGCGCTTGGGAGGTAGAGGCAAGAAGATCTCTGTTAGTTCAAGACCAGCCTAGTCTACAAAGATAATTCAAGACATTCAGGGCTATACAGAGAAAAACCCTGTCTTGAAAGACCAAAAAGGAAAAAAAAAAAAAAAAAAAAAAAGAACTGAACCCAAGAGTCGAGGCCCAGCTTTAATCTCTCTGAATGAGCTTCATAAAAAACCACATCTGAACTCTCCCTTACTTTTAGACTTGTAACACCTCTCACTTCCTCCTTTGGAGAAAACAATGTTTTCTGTACTGAGGCCTTCCAAACGTGTGGCATGGGGTACTGCAGTGCCCTACAATTGCCCGCAGAAGAGGACAGGACACCAGTTAATACTTACCTCGGACTCAGTCATTTCCTCTTCTTTTTAGGGAGGGGCAGCTTGAGCAGGCTGAGCTGGCGGAAAGAATGGAAGTCATTAAAACATGCTTGCCTTTGTGGTTTCAGCAATATGTATTTAGAATTTATGACCATTCTTGGATCCAACAGAAAGTGGAAAAATCTCCATTCTACTGAGGGGCTAATGCTACAAGGGTCACCAGAAAGACAGTGTGGGGCTGAGAGCAGGATCCGTGGGGATGTCCAGACTTTTCCATAGCTCTTAGAGCACAGGCCCACATAGTCCAGGACAACTAGGAAACTGTTAAGACATAGGTTGTCTGTGTACTGTTACATTTACAAAAGAGACAATTAAATGGGAACATAACGAGAAAGGTGATTATTTCCAGGACTGGGGGGTTTATGTGAGTTAGTGAGGTGTATCAGAAGTACTGGCAGTTAAGAGAATTAAATCTTTATTTTCCATAGGAAAAAAGGAAGAAAAAGGAAAAAATACATCTAAATCAGAAAGACATTAGACACGCAGGGTAATTACAGGATTAGGGAAGTGGAGGCGAGGGCTGAAAATTGGCTCAGTGATTAAGATTTGCTTCCCTACCATCAAGACCCAAGGTGGGTCCCAGCAGCCACGGCCCATAGCTCACAAATGCCTGTAACTCCAATTCCATGGCAAGGGATCCAGTGGCCTTTTCTGACCTCCCTGGGCACCTTACACACAAGGACACACACACACACACACACACACACACACACACACACACACACACACACACACGGGGAAGGAAGAGGAATGGGTATTGACAATCATCAAGGATTTGAGGAAGGGAACCTCTCTCTTACTTTTCCTGAGGATGGGTGGTCAAGAGATGCCACTCTCTTCTTCAGGTGGAGGATTGCTGCTTCCAGGTCTGTAAAGGGAAGCCTTCCCGCCAGCCTGGCTTCAGAGCCGCATCAGTTCCAAATAAACACACAGGAGGCTGTATTATGAAGCTGTTGGCCTTGCTTGTTTCTTACTGGCTAGCTCTGACTTAAGTATTTATCCCATAATTGTTAATCTAAGTATTTCTCTTACCGGAGAAGTTTCCGGGCTTCTTATCCCTATGGTGGTTACATCTGTGTTTCTCCTACCCAGAGTCCTCCTGGACTCCTGGTTCCACCTATCTTGCTTCCCTATTGGCCAACAGTGCTTTATTGATGTATACACAGGACTTTCCCAGCACAGGTCCCAGGACCCCAACCTTGATGTTTATGCTCCATCCTGTCTGCACCTATCCCAACCCACCCCAGAGTCTAGAATGGCCGAGGGAAGAGCTGGGTGTGGTCGAAAGAGCCACCGTTAGTCTGGACCACACCTTCTGCTGGAAGCCTATAGAAAGGACATGGAAACTGACTCCTTGTCTGTTTGCTCTCGCTAGCAAGCCCATTCCTTCACTGACACTAGAGCTGACTTCTTTGAGACTCTTCCACACACTGAAGACCAGCTGAGACACCCAGCCTCATGGACTGAACAGCTACTGGTTCTTGGACCTTGTTATTAGACATTAATTGTTGGACTAGCTGGGCCAGGGCCTCTAAGACACTCTAATACATCCCATGTATATAGAATAAACAGTTGTTACTCTAGAGAATTCTGACTAATACAAGGCCCCAAGGGAAGCCCAGTGAAACAGATTTAAGCAGAAAGACACAATGGCCTTACTCATCCCAGACAGCAGAGGTACAGCTCCGACTCAGATCAAAGGGGTGTGGATGGGACCAGGAGGCGAGAGGAGAGTGGAGGAAGTCAATGACATAGGAGGGCAGGAGGAAGAAGGTTCCCAAGGTTTTGGCTATGGGCGGTTTGCCCAGGAACACCAGGACAGCAGCATGAAAGGGGCAAGGTTCCTCCTTGGCTGACCTTGCTAACTCTCCTTCTTCCTTAGGTAGGAGACTCCCTGCCGGAGCCTGACTCAGATGCTGTGCGACCCTTTACCTGCATAGAAGGGGCTTCCCACACTCCAGGGTGGCTACTTATTTGCCCCTCCTGGAGTCCCTGCCTCCATAAGACATTTAGGGGAGTCTTCCAGCAAGGCCCATTTCCACCTCCTCCATTCTCCTTGAATCAACTGTCCATGGCCAGTTTCCCTCATCACTGCTGTCCTCTGTTCTGCCCACGCTGCCCTTCCTATCACCATCACCCCAGGTAGCTCCAGCTCCAGCACGTGCACACAGCTCCTTTTCTAGACTGGACAGCTGGAAGCCTTGTCTGGGGCTGTTCTCACTCTCCCACAGTCCATGCTGAACCCCTCCTCTTGCTGAGTTTCTCAAACTTCTTAATTTCCCTATGAGGGAAGAGATCCTTGGGTACCAAAAAATGCTATCTAATGGGTTCTAGTAAAACTAAGATAGACGCACCCCTTTAATCCCAGAACTTGGGAGGCAGGGACAGGTGGATCTCTCAAGGCTAGCCTGGTCTATACAGTCAGTTCGAGACCAGTTAGAGCTGCAAAGTGAGATCCTGTGGCTAAACAACAACAAAATTCTTTTTGATAGTTTCATGTTTATTTGTGTGAGACAGGGTCTCTCTAGATAGCCCTAGCTGCCCTGGAACTCGCTCTGTAGACCAGGCTGGTCTTGAACTCACAGAGATCCGCCTGCTTCTGCCTCCCGAGTGCTGGGATTAAAGGTGTGAGCCACCCCTCCCATTTCCTTCTAGCGCGCAGGCATGCATACACAATGGGTACATACCCACATATTAGTTAGTGGGCTCCATGATCTCCATGACTACCCCACTCTTCCTCATTCTAGGTTGTTCTGCTTCTCCGTGACCTGTATTTGCACCTGCTGACCCTTTTCTCTTGATCTAGTCTGGTGCTGAACCCTGTCACTGTACAATTTCCAGTGTAGTTGTTATGGTCTCCAACTCTATAATAAATTCCCTGGTACCTCTTATTTCTGTCTGCTGAAATTCTCTCTATTCACACATTGTTCTCTCGACCTTGGTGGGCCTCTTTATGAGATTTATTTTTGATTTTTTTTTTTTGTCAGATAAGCCATTTAACTCTGATTCCTCATGACTGGCTTCATGAAATTAACCTTGTACATCTGTGTGGGACATCCTTGCTGACTTTGCATTTTCTCTGACTCTCTGTCTTCTGATGTCTGTGCACTAGAACAAGAATCACTCCCAGCCTTCATGAACTGTGTTCGGCTGGGACCTCCAGCTCATTCCTGCAAGCCCCATTCCTCTCTCTCCAAAACCCACCCTCCCAGAGAATCTCCAACAAAGAAAAGGCACCAAAGAGCCCTGTCCACATTCTTGGTGACCAGAGCTACATAGTGAGACCCTGTTTAAAAAAAAAAAAAAAAAAAGAAAAAGAAATCCAAAATCAAAATATAAAAAATTTTTTTAAAGTTTTTTTTTCTGTTTTGAGTTTTTTGAGACAGCATTTCTCTGTGTAGCTCTGGTTGACCTGAAACTCACTATATAGACAAGGCTGGCTTTGAACTCACAGAGACCTACCTGCCTCTGCCTCCCAAGTACTGGAGTTAAAGGTGGGTTCATCCTCTACACCATGCCAAGGAGGTCCAGTCCCAGCAGTACAGGCGTCTGAGACTCTTCCAGCCTTTGAGCTCCTCAGCCTGGCAGAGGACTGATGCCACCCAGACTTAGAGACATCCATCACCCTCGCCCAGCCCAGGGTCATGTTCCAGGTAGTGGGTAAGTCCATTGTCTTTCGGTGGACACGGGAGCTACCTTTTCTGTATGAGCTCTCATTCCGGTCCCACATTTCCATGCCAATTTCTGTCACAGGGGTGGATGGGATCCCCTCCTTTCCGCCTAAGACCCTCCACTTGCCTGCATTCTTGCTGGAAGATTCTTCTCACACTCTCTTCTAGTCATACCCACTTGTCTGGTACATTTACTTGGCTGGGATATCCTCAGCTTCTTTGGGGCCACCCTCTCCCTGGCCCTCACACTCTCTTCTGACTCCCATCTTCCAGATTCCCTCATTTTGGGGCCTGATGGGATTCTTCCGTCACTGGATTCCTACCTTTGCCATCACGACCGTCCCTGTACCAGGCAGTCGGAGAGACCCCCACAGGGCCCCTCACCTACCTGGCCGCTGTCTGCCACCACCTCGGTTTACCGAGGACTCCCCCCGCTCTCCAGGGCTCCATCTGACACTATCACCTCTTCACAGATGAAAAGATGGGAGTGGCCACCAGCATTCCAGTCCCACCAGTTGGGCCTTCAAATCAGGTTGTTGCTTTTTTGTCCAAATAACTAGACCCCACCATGTGTGGATGATAGTCATGTTTGGGGGTCCTAGCAGCAGCTGAACTCACCAGGGAGGCTCTCAAGATCACCCTGTTTCAGCCGCGCACCTCTCAGACCTTCTGAGTCATTCCTCTCTTTCCCTCCTTGGGCCCTCATGGGTCCAGGTCATTCACTTAATGTTTCTAGAAGACCTCCAAACAACCTTGGCCTCTAGCCCTGCCCTAAATGTTGCAAACCTCCTCCCTGTCTCTCCCTCCTCTGATACCCCCTCCCACTCCTGCTTAGAGGCTGTGGAGGCCTTACTATCACCCCAGCCTGGTCCCTTAGACCAACCCCTCACAGACCTCTCAACTCATGCTCTTTATTGATGGAAGTTCTTTCATAGACAGATCAGGAAACCACCAGGTGGCTTATACAGTGGTCACTTCCTCTAAAATGGTTGAGGCAAGTCACTTGTCAATGAGAACCCCTTGACAAAAGTGCCTTGATTAGAGCACTCCAAATACCTAACGGTCAGTGGGCTAATACCTACCCTGACTCTAAATAGGCCTTTTTAGTAGGCCATATCCATTCTGTCCTTTGGAAGGAAAGAGGATTCCTCACTGCCCAGGGCACTCCCATTGTCAATGGACCCCTACAGCCAAGCTCTACAGTTCCCTGTAGAGATAGCCATAATCCATTGCTGGGGACATCGGCCCTTCAAGGACCCAGTGGCCTTAGGTAATGCCAAGGCTGACTCACTAGCTCAGGGACTGGCTTCCAGCTCCACTGGATCTACAAGACATCTTCTGTTTGTGTCACCCTCCTATCAGTCCTGTTACCAACCAAGAGAGGAACAAACTCCTGAAAAAGGGGGCCACAGAGACAAAAGATGGATGGTCTACTTAAATGACTATATCATCCTCCCCCAGGATCAGGCACTCCCATCTTTTCAGAGATCCACCAAATCTAACATACAGTGTTTCATTCGACTTCCTAGAGCCCCTCTTTGATACCACCCATCTTCTGGCCTGTATTTCACAGGTCCACTCCTCCTGCCAGATGTGTGCCACGGCCAACCTGCAGGAGGCCTCCAGACATGCCAGTCCTTGCACCATCTCCGAGGACACCAACTGGGCAAGGGCTGGCAGGTTGATTTTTACCCACATGCACACTCAGAAAAAGCTCCACTGTCTCCTAACTCTTGCTGACAGGATAGATACAGGCATTCGCCACCTCCAGGAAACAGCAGATATCGTGGCTCAGGTACTCCTTGAACACACCATCCCTTGATTTGGCATGCCACACACCATCCAACGGACAACGACCCAGCTTTCACTTCCAGGTCATTGAGCTCATGTCTGAAGTCCTCAACATCTCCTGGAAGCCCATATCCTACTGCCAACATCTGCTGGAAAGGTTGAGACGGCCAACAGACTCATCAAACAACAACTCACCAAGCTCTTCACTGAACTCAGGTTATCTTGGCCCTTCCTCCTCCCCATTGCCCTTACCTGCCTCTCATAGGGTCATCCCATGCTCTCCTACAGGCATAAGCCCCTTTGAGCTC